CTTTACCCGAACTGTGGTAAGAGCGGGAGGTCCTTCCCGAATACTCGAAATTTCATCGGATCTCAACATTCTGCGAGACACTGTGGATTTTGTGACGCAGTTTGACCTTCTATGCTCTGCCACAGAAAGTGGGGCTCTTTAGGATGTCAACAATGCCGAATTGTCACGAGGTGTGGCCGCGTTAGGCCTAAGGGTAAGTTCCTTTCTTTTTTTTTTTTTTTTGAACTTGGACTTTATCAACTCTCTTCTTCTCTTTATTTTTAGTCTTACATGCTGGAGATCGAGAGTGCTCGTAGGGCCGAGACTCAGGCCAAGATTTTTTTGAAAATGCTAGAAAAGTATCGGCGGCATCGCAACAAATGCCGTGAGATACATGAGCGGCTCAGGGCGGGTACCGACATCCAATCCCTCGGTGAGGAGTTGGAGAAAAGGGACTAGGAGTTGATGCAGTCCATCCGCAAATGCAGTGAGCTCGAGGAGCTGCTCCGTGCCAAAGACGAAGAGCTTGAGCTGGGAAAGGGGGTCGTTTCGGAATTTGAGCATCTTCAGGCGAAGGTGTTGTCGTTTCAAGCCAAACTTGAGCAGAATGCCTCCAGAGTCGAAGCTTTGAGTGCAGAATGGATGGGGAAGTTGGCCGAGCTGGAGAGGAAAGTGGCATAGAAGGAAAGTGCCGAGAATGCTCGAGCGTCGGTTTTGGCAAGGGCAGTAGCATTGGAGGACACTATTTGTGTCCTCAAATCTGAGCAGGAGTCTGAGAGGGCGACGACCACACTAAGGGAGGCGAGGCTCGAAGAGCGCATCAGCAAAATTGACCGGGAAGCTTCAAACTTGGGAGACCGGGTTGCGACCCTTGAGGCTGAAAAGGCGCAATTATTGGCTCAAGTTGAATCTGCTTCTGTCGCTGCTCCTCGCCACTTGCATGAGCTGTGGGTCCATGCCGAGGCCCAACGAGACATATACAAGGGTTTATGGTAGGCGGGCAGTGTTTCTGAGGCTGCCTTTGAAGAAGCTCGGGCTAAGGCGCGTGAGGCTCGTGTCAATTGCGGCTACGACCCTGTGACACCGGAAGCCCGCGAGGATGTTGATGTTGAGGATGGGTTGCCTGAAGACAATGATTGGGAGAACGACGGTGATGACGCCGAGTGAAAAGTTGCTGCAGCTTTTATAGTCTTTTTTTTGTTCGTTTTCGTTTCTTTTTTTTGTTCATTTTCGTCTTTTTAGGGCCTGTTCCGGCCTTTTGTAAGGTACGGCTGTTGTGTGCGTATATATAAAGAAAACAGTTGATTCGCCTTTGTGTATCTTTTGATTTTCTTTTTCTTCCCCTTGCTTGTTACATATCTTTTTGTTTTGATGTAGACCTTCGGATTTTTTTATGAGTCCCTAATTTTTTGATTTGGGAATCCGACCCTACCCGAGTCGAGTAGGATCTTGTCACGTTAGTCCGAATAAAGTCATTTCGGATCTGCATGTCCGGGCGAGGTCGACTTCTGACTTGTCGCTTCAGGCGGAATCGCCCTTGATTCAAACGAGGTTGAATTCAGATTTACCATTTTATATGGTCAGTTTCGATTTGAATATTCGAGCGGGATTGAGTTTAGACTTGCCAGCTTAGAAAAAAAAAATTCATATATATTCGAGCGGGGTCGAACTTTGGAATTGCCGCCTGGAGCGAAGTCAATTTCTGACTTTTATTTGAATGAATCCGAATTTGGTCGCCGTCTGGAACGAGTCAATTTATGACTTATGTTTGAACGAGTTCGAACTTTTTATTTTATTCGACGTTGACCGACGACCGTAAAGGTGTTGTTCCGAGCGAGGTCGAATTGTAACCTACTTGTTTGGACGATGGACAGTGGCCATAAAGGTATTAATTCGAGCAATGGTCAAATTGTAACCTACTGTAATTCGATCGAAATTGAATTCTCTTTTGGTGATGGCCTTTGTCTGTAGGAGTGTTATTTCGAGCAAGATCGAAATAGTAACCCATTGTAATTCGAGCGAAGTCGAATTCTTCTCTTTTGGAGATGGCCTTTGGCCATAGGGGTGTTATTTCGAGCATGATCGAAATAGTAACCCATTATAATTCGAGCGAAGTCGAATTCTTCTCTTTTGGCGATGACCTTTGGCCCTAGGGGTGTTATTTCGAGCAAGATCGAAATAGTAACCCGTTGTAATTCGAGCGAAGTCGAATTCTTCTCTTTTGGCGATGACCTTTGGCCCTAGGGGTGTTATTTCGAGCAAGATCGAAATAGTAACCCGTTGTAATTCGAGCGAAGTCGAATTCTTCTCATTTGGCGATAGCCTTTGGCCGTAGGGGTGTTATTTCGAGTAAGATCGAAATAGTAACCCGTTGTAATTCGAGCAAAGTCGAATTCTTCTCTTTTGGTGATGGCCTTTGGCCGTAGGGATGTCATTTCGAGCAAGATCGAAATAGTAACCCGTTGTAATTCGAGCAAAGTCGAATTCTTCTCTTTTGGTGATGGCCTTTGGCCGTAGGGATGTCATTTCGAGCAAGATCGAAATAGTAACCCGTTGTATCATTATTACTATGTGTTTTTTTTGGAGAGCATTGCATGTCGCCGTACTATTTATGCATGCGTCGGAGTAAGCCCCAGTGTGCTCAGCTTTATTTTTACTGGAGGATACTAGGCATTCCCTCGGATAGTCCCAGTTTGCTTAATTTTGTTTTCATTGGAGAATACTATACGTTTCCTGGGTGTTTTGGCGGCGTTGGTCCCTCGCTTGCATACTCATGCGAGTGCTTGCGTTCCTATTTCGAATCAATCAAAAGAGTGAAAAACTCAAATGAAATTTTTTGTTACCTCGTTTTAGCAAACCGGTGAAAGGAGGAGCAGCGTTGTAGGGTTACTTGCTCTGCCTAGTACTCAAATAGTGGTTTCTTATTTTGCAGCCACGTTTTCGCTTCGCCGTTCAGCTGCGTCTAGACTTCTCGTGAGTTAGGCTTACCTCGCCCGTAGGGACACCAAGGCCGAGTCCCAGTTCAATATGCGTAAACAATAAGGGAAATATGTCATGCTTTATTTATAAATTATCCGGCATACATGTTACGAAAATAATGCGAGATATGCCTGATCTCCCAAAGGGTCATGCAGTGGGTTATCGTCCCTTCCCAAAGGGCAAAAGTACAGGTTGGTATATAGGGTGAATACATCGCATGGGACCACGGTCACGCCAAGCACATAGTGATCGTAATCCTATTTCACCCACGTGTATGACTTGTTGAACCCGCCGTTACGGGTGGGGCATGGGTCTCATATAGACATCGGTCATAATTTTTATTTTGTGTAGGGATTTGACCTAGATTAATAAAGTTGTGTCAAAAACTTATCTACCATTTTTTTTAGTTTGTGTTGTCACCAAGATGATGAGGTTATAGCAGCCTAGAAGTAATACTTGGCTGGTTCTAGATCTAAAGGAAACTAAAGAATTTAGCTAAGAAATCCCCACAGACGGCGTCAAATTATTTGACCAAAAAAGTGTTAAACCTTATAGTTAAACTAATTAATAGAGAGATAGAAGGTAAATCTTAGCCAAACATAATTAACCCTAGATCCAAATATATTGAGTAAAACAATCGAAAAAGAACAAGCTTGTGTAATATTTCTTAAGATGGTTATCATACATCAAATATAAATGATGAGCTTACATCTATGACAAGCTTGCACCATATTCGTAAGAACATACAAGGAGAAGAGAGGAAGCTGTTTATGACTAAAGGATCTCTCTTTTCCTGATTCCATGACTATAAATGTTGTAGCCAGGTCTGGGGTCCGGTCCTTTTCGGTGATCTCCCTCCTCTCTATATATATTAACAATTTTTTCTTTTATCCAGTGGTCTTTAACCGGTATACTTTCTCATGATTGTACCCTTCATTACTTGCCTAAACATTACACTTGTTCTACGACGTAAACTTTCTAGTGGCTTGACCTCGACAATGGCCGAGATGCTCTATGCTATCACGCCCCGTGGGTACGACTACGGCTCAGTCCACCCCTTATCGTTCCTTTTAAGAACAACCATCTTATGGTCGGATTTTGACCCATACACTCAGGGTAACTAATCCGGGGACTAGTTATACCACGATTTATCCCAACCAAATATGGGATAAACTCATCTCAAATTTAATTTCGGGATTAATTATCCCTTATACTTCGTACCAAACAAGCTCTAAGAGGTTTCTTAAATTGTGGAAACAGTGTCTCAAGGTTTGATTTGACAAGAAAATGAATGTCGTGCCATGGTTCGTTAGAAGGTCAATTTTATGACAAGTGTGTTGGTTTCCCAAGTACACGCAAGTATACATAGCCGCCAATTAATAAAGTGATTCGAAAGTCGTATGTCAAACCCACGAAGACTTAAAGTAATTGTTAACTAAGAAAACTTAAATCAATTTAATGTCCCAGAAACTCAAAAATGTTATTTTTCTACTAAACTACTTTTGAAGAAATTAAACTAGTAATTAGCTATAACACGGAGCAAGAGATTGTGATAGGATTTTAATCAGAGAATATGAACATTCTAGGGTTGTGATCGTTTTATCAATCCTATTGAGTTCATAACTACACTTGTTAATCCAAAATATCTGTGGTTGCTAGTTGACCGGACCATTTGTATAAATAACATGTTCCTACATTACTATCCGTCTATCTACAATATATCACTCATATATTTCTATGGTATTAAATCTATCATAAGCGAAGAAAATACGACACTCACTAAACAAGACTGTTAGGTAAATTCCTATTCTAACCGCGAAATTTTTCTCTGAGCCTCGGGTTCAGAAACAAGCTCTCTCTAATTCTACTCTAATATAAACACGATTTTCCCAAGTATAGCAGAGATAGTAAATAGAACTCAACAGTTGGCCAAATAATTAAGCAATTATGCAAGAATTAAAAAAGCATCCAAAAATGATAACTCGAAATAACGGTGACGGAATTAACAAACTTCAATATTCATGTCAACTACAATCCTAGAAACTAGAGTGCTTAGTCACTCATGTTTATAGTAACAAATATCCAAGTATTTTGCATAAACAAATTACAAAAAATGAAGGAATGAAGAACTCGATAATATTCTCCTCCAAAAGTTATTCCACGTGATGTTCTTGCTTCCAAATAATGTATCACCCCCTCCCCAACAAAAAAAAATATATTTAGAACCCCTTTTATACATGTTGGGGATGTGTAGAGTTGAAATCACCAAGTCCCAATCGAATTAGGACGAAATCTGCCCTTGGGCATCACGAATTGCACTTGGTGCGAAGCTGGACAGTGAATTTTTAGCCTGCTGTCAACGACATTTTAGTTGGTGCCTGGCGCCAAACTTTTTTCACTTTTGTGCTTTGCTGCCTTGGCGTTTTGGTTGGTGCCTGGCGCGAACCTGGCTACCAAAGTCATATTTCCTCCAAAATCTTCCATTTTAACTTCAATTTGCACGCAAACTTTTTAAATCACTTTCAATTGACTCCTACACATATAAATATCATTATTAAGCTCGAGTCACAAATATTCACACTAAACTTAATAAGTTCCAGATATAACGCAAGACAAATTACATACAAAAATATAGATTTTTAGCCAAATATCAAAGTACAATGATGGTCTTAGGCATTCAAGCATTCACAGAGCCAATTGTTCGTTTAGCATGATATCTGAAATTCGTTACTGGAGGGTAATATCAAGAAAAAAGAATAATAATAATAATAATAATAATAATAATAATAATAATAATAATAATAATAATAATAATAATAATAATAATAATAATAATAATAATAATAATATAATAAACACTTGCTATTGGTCATATCTCTTGAAGATATATAGACTCTCTCTATGTTGTGTATTTAAAGACTTAATACCGTGGTGATACCAGTAACAATCTTCCACATATAGGTATGAGTTCGATTTTTTACTGTGTCACTTCTTCACAGAGCTGATTGCTGGCAATTGATAAGGATAGACACTCCTATCATATTCAGGATTCCTAGTTTAAGTTGTATCTTATGAGATTCTTTCTTATCTTCACAGAAGTCTTATGTACATAGAACTCTGTCTCATCTCTTCCTTCTCATCTTGTACTTGTATATAAACTTCTCTATTGTAATCAATATATACAAGCCTTTTACAATTCTTATCAACTCTTATATGGTATCAAGAGCCTAAAATAAACTCACACGAGTTGCCCTCCTTTTTTTCCAGAATGGGTGACAAAACACCATTATCTTCGTCATCAACCTCTTCCTCACCCATCGTTCCAGTCAATCAGAGTAGCATTGTTAAACCCTCTCAACTCATTTCTTTCAATCCTGCCAGCCAACTCTCCTTGAAACTATTAGGGAGTTCGAACTACTCCACTTGGAAATCTCAAGTCACCACACTTCTTTTTGAATATTACTTCTTGGCTTTGTTGATGGTTCATACACTCCTCCACCCACTTATATTCTAAATGAATCTAACAAAGAAGTTCTCAACAACGCCTTTCGCCTCTGGCTAAGGCAAGAGAGTCTGGTTCGCAATGCCATCATGGCATGGACCTCTAATAGCTCATGCATCCACTGCCAACCATGCCTGGAATATACTTCAAACCACCTATGCCAATAAATCTCATTCACGCATATTCAGCAAAGACAACAACATGAAACCTGTCTGACAAACAAGATCGTAGGACATCAAGCGTTTAATAATTGACTTACTCCAAAGAAATTATAATAATTGATTTTATAACAAAACTATTCCATGTTTCAATCACTGTCTGGAGCAGAAGTATCGGTCTGAGTTCAGTAGATTTGAAGATGTCCAGGATAGATGTAAATCAGTTGAAAGAGAGGAAAAAAGAGCAACTGAGCTGGCTGATAAAGCAAGGGTCGAAGCATGAGAGAAGTATAGAAAACTTGCAGAGGCAAAAAGATGAATTGGCTAATGAAGTAGAGAAGCTTCATGCATCTGAGTTTGATGCGCAGTCAAAAGTTGCAATACTGGAGGCCAGAGTTGAAGAAAGGGAAAAGGAAATTGAGTCACTTCTGAAATCAAATAATGAACAGAGAGCCAGCACTGTGCAAGTCCTTGAGAGTCTGTTGGAGACTGAGCGTGCTGCACGTGCAAGCTACACAAGAAAAGCTGGACCTTCTTCAGCAACAGTTAACTGCAGTTCGGCTGAATGAAACTAAAGCGAAAGAAATACTCAGAAATCTCAGCCACATTTCACAACAGACTTCAAGCTCAAATTTCAGTTCACAACAGACTTCAAACCAAAAATCTCAGTCATTAAAGCAGTCTCAAACTTGAGTCAACTCCTCAAGTTCCCAGCAGACAGTAGTCAGAACTTCAACAGCAATAGACAGACACTACCAACTGCGTGATCTTGAACAAGATACTCAAGGGATTCATGCTACCAAAACAAGTAGGAAGAAAAATACAAACAAGAAACGGAAGCAGATGGTTCTCAGGTGCATACTGAACCAGAAGCAGATGGTTTTCAGGTGCATACTAAACTAGAAGCAGGGGAATCATAATTCGAATAAGGAACTCGAGCCTAACTTACGAATTCAACTCAATTAACTTAGACGATCTAGTAGAAGTTCAGTTTTTAAACTCATACATCAAAATCTGGAATAAATAACCTGGTGACAAGATGACATTGCTGCTCATCTTCTTCCTCAGAACTGGAATCAGTAGAGTTTAGCTTAAGTCATTTTACAGCAGCTATATGGAACAAGTTGGTAGGAATATTTGGTGTTTCTATTAGAGGATTGCAATTCAAACACATTAAGATTGGTTCTAGGATCATTAATTGTTTTTAATACTTTCAGTGTGCAGGTCAACTCAAAATTTGCAGAAAAGACCAAATAGAACTTCAGCAACAATAGACACTAGATTTTAGGTCAATCACATTCAATTCAAATAAGCAAAAACAAACAAGGATAAGTTCATCAACTCAAACAAGTCACAGGGGAATCACAATTCGAATAAGGAACTCAAGCTGCCCTGTTTGTAATATATCGTAGCATTGTACTCGCTAGAAAGTCATCTGTCATGTGTGTTACTTTACAGAACATGCCGGTGCTTCAAATGGTCTATGAAGACCCCAGTTTCATGACTGCTATTTCATTATCTATTGCTCTCTTATGTAAATGGTACTAATACTGATAAAGTTACAATCGAATTATGGAAGCATGTAAGTCGAAACTATATCTTGTTTCCATTTCTTGCAAGTTTACATGAAATCAGATTCTAATGATAAAAAAATTGGAGGAAAATTCAAACAATAGAAAACTCAAATAGTAGCACCTAAGGATAAAGATGAGTAGTACCTTGAGACAGTGAAGTATTTTCAGCAACACTAGGTATCCTTGATGTTTGTGGTACTCGTTCATGGCCACTGTTGGCATCAAGGACCTAATAAATATTAACACATTAGATTACAATTCTTTTATAGGATTGAAACTTCATTAAGAGTGCTTATAACTTCTGAAAATCGAGTTACCTATTCACTTGAGGTGCCATTGATATTTTGAGGCATAGATTCATTAAAAACATATTTGCGCATCAAATATCTCATTTGGAGTAATTCTGATTGCATCTTCTCCTGATTTTGTTTCATCAGATTCATTTCTTCATTGTGTTTATCCTTTAACTCGGTTATCTCCTGTGTTAACCTTTGTACGGCCTCATTAGACGAACCCTCTGCAATAATATTTCCTAAGGAAGATCTACTACCCCATAGAACAGAAGGAGTTGGAACAAGTCCTAAACCACGAACATACCCACTTTTGTCATTTTCCGAACACCTGGGAATACACATGGCCTTCCCAAGCAACACTGCGAGGAGGTTGATCAGTGGAGCGCTCACTATTATTCATCCTTTCATTTATCATTTCCTGACCACAGAACACATAAATCCAAGTTGGAATTCATTTATTCGCTTTTATGTTTTTTCCTAAACTATTTCCCAATTCAGAAATTTAAATAAAAAAAAGAAATCTTACGATTGCATTGGCAGAATCAACATCCAGTGGTCTACCATCCTTACATTGTTTATGAGTTAATAAGAAAATTTGTGCTCGTGTAGGTTCTACCCCATTTACAGCCTAATACAATAAAATTGATGTCAGATATGCGTGGAAAAAAAAAAGAATTTTAAAATATTATAATTAGTATTTTTTACAAGTTTACCTGCTCATCCATCAAGGTAGCAATACTTTTGGATCCTCCTGTGTGAGTCATCTTTTGATTGACCCTATTGTTTCTATTTGCTTGGGTACGCCTCTATCATTGAAATATTAAAATGATATATTACAAATTATAAATAAAAATTAAGCATAACTAAAATCAAAACACTGAAAATAATCAAGTAGAAGTGTTTTAAAGATTTGTTAATACCCTAGCTTTATCTGAAAGCCAATAGGAGACAAGACCACTCCATTAATCCCTCGGTATGCGACTTGGTCTATTTTTCAGCAAAGCGTCTTTAGTCTTATATTTTGGCAGATACTCACCTTTTAAATTGCACTTGTAATCTTTTCATTTCTTTCCTAGTTACTTTAGGACATAAGCTTCTCTTCGTCTTGGGATAGAGAACTTCTTCTAAAAAATAAAGTCAACATTTAGAAGAAAATATCATGTATAAAAGATTGAACTCGTTCATATAATAATAATAATAATAAT